AAAAATCTTTTGACATTCTAATTATACAATGATTGAAGAAACCGATCACACTTCATAATCACCTCTGGTTCACTTTTCGCACTGAAATGGAAAGTCAAGTCGATTGCATTATAGGGTATAGTATGTGCAATGTGCTTTTGCTGAATACTGCACATTGTTGCAAATGTAGTAAATTGTCTTATCAGTGTATCTATAAATACAGCAAAAAATGCATGTATGCAGCATTCTATTCTGTATAGTGTAAAAAATGGTATGCATCGTGTATTGGTATGCTATAGCTGACATTGGCATTCTTTTCATTTTATGTCTCTCCATCTGTTCAGCTGCAACTTACCGGATTCATTATTTAGATTGAATCACTGGTCAGGCAGCTCCCATGGCAAGCATTCAAAAGCAGGGTGTTAGAATTGCCCCTTGCTTTGAGCACGTGTCCGTCTGCTCATGTGTAAATGAGTGTGCTCAATCCTGTTTATATAAAAAGGTTAGTTCACCCAAAAGGGAAAATTCTGTCACAATTCACTCACTGTTCAACACAAATAGAGACATTTTGAAAAATGTATTTTACAAGCAATGGATTTTCTCTTCATATGAATAAGGACTGAACATGTGAAGCTTCAGAAAGGTCAGCAGATCATCATAAAAGTATGGTCACATTTACCGTTATAGGTGAATTTTTACAGATGCAATTCATTCATTTCAATAGAAACCCACTTGATCGAGAATTTCGTGTTAGGGCAAAATATTTCCCCACTTAGAGTTTGCAACGGGTTCAAGACAAAAGGGATTCGCCTCTGCTTTTGAAAATGACTGATGTGTGAACTGTGTGAGCTCATACATTATTACAACATTGACTATAGACAATGCACTGAAATTTCGCTAATGTGAGCACCAGTGTTGGGGCCAACGCATTATAATTAACATTATTTTTTTTTTTCCAGTAAAAGTAACACATTAATTAACAACAAAATATCCAAATAACTTTTTCAAATATGTAACGCAAGTTACTTCGTTTTCCCATTTATTAAAAGAGTAGTTCACTTTTGATAAAACTTTTGCTGATAATTTACTCACCCCCATGTCATCCAAGATGTCCACGTCTTTCTTTCTTCAGTCGAAAAGAAATTAAGGTTTTCGATGAAAACATTCCAGCATTTTTCTCCATATAATGCAGTGGGAACCAAACAGTTCAAGGTCGAAAAGACACTTTCAGTGCAAACTGTTCAAAGGGCTTTAAACGATTCCAGACGATGAATAAGGGTCTTATCAAGCGAAACGATCGTTCATTTAAAAAAATAAAATAAATAAAGTTTAAGTTTTATAATCACAAATGCTTGTCTTGCTGTGTTCTGTGACGCACGTTTTGTGACTCTCCTGTTCGCTTAATGCATTTAATCTCACTATATTTTGCTCCTGACCTTTTGTGCAATTCAACCATATACATATAAGCAACTTATTACTAGATGAACATCAAATTTGTGTTTTCTTTTTTATAGCTGAAGTAAGATTGTTGGACTGCATCCAAAATCGCATACATCCTTACTATATAGGCGAAAAACGGTATGAGATGAGAATAAGCAATGTAAAAGTAACGTAATTCATTACTTTCCATTAAAAAACGAACTAAGTAACACAATTAGTTACTTTTCAGGGAGTAACACAATATTGTTATACATTACTTTTAAAAGTAACTTTCCCCAACTGGTGAGCTCAGTTTAAAGGGTACATATCATGCTTTTAAATCATTCATTTTTACTTATAAATCATACATTTGTGGTCTATATAAAGCATAACTGCAACGCTTGGGTCTGAATTCCTCATTATTATAGCTCCACAGGCCCCTTTTCTGATGTGCTTCTGTGAGCAAGTCGTTTCGAAGCGGCCCCTTTAAATAAAAAGGAGTTGCGTCATTCCCCGCCCGCTTTCCAGGTCGCTGAGTTCACGGTCGGTTCAACTCCCCGCGTTCGACCATTATTGTAGTTTGATAAGAGATATACGATTACTATAGACGAATCCGGCGAAACTAAACCGGGCGCCATTACTGAGCTGTTGCTGGGTAGCGTTGCGCCATTGCCTCCTATTGTTTTAGTTGCAACTTTCGTCCACTGGAATAAACAGCCCGCGATTTACGACTGTCACTAACGTTACAACATTACCCCTTGTATAATGTCGAGTGGGAAAACAGTTTCTGTTATAAATTGTTTCAATGGTGGCAGTAAAATTTCAATTTGGAAGAGAAAACATTGTGAATACCCCAGGTCGACTGCCCCTGTCTGATGCCGTAGTGTTTACACAGATTTCCTGGGCGAGTACAAGAGGCGGACATTCGCGTATAATAACAATTATTTAATGACTAAGTAAAAAAATATAATAACATGTGATATAGTGATCAGCAAAATCTACTCACTTGCTATTTTTTTCTATTCAATTAACATGCTATGGTCATTAAATGGCTTTCCTGAGCTAAATGTAACGTTATGTGACATTGTTCTCCTGCTGTTATATTGACCTCTTTCCATGGTTTAAAAACACTAATTGATGTTATGTCCACTTTCTAACTGTAACGTTACCTTACCCTTGCCCGTTGCAATGTGAAAATGAGATAAATAATGGACACAAATGAAAAACATGAATTTGTTTATTTGATTTCATTTATTGTTGCCAAATGGACAGATCTTTTTATAGTTTCCTCGTTAGCAAACGTTAGCATAGCTAGCTTGCCAAGCTATTTTCATAAATAATCTGTAAGATCATTTGTACCTTCATCTGTGACTGGAGGCCACTGTCTAACATCATCAACCCAACAAGTCATTCTGCCTGGCTGTAGCTGTCATCGAGGGTGCGTTATCACCGAGGTTTGTTTACATACCGGTGCATATGCCGGTGTAACAGCTAAGTAATGGCGTCGCCACCAGATGGCAGCCTACACAGAACGCTCGTCGGATTCGTCTATAGCTTCAAAGAACATTTTTATTCACAGGTTAACAAAATGTCAACAACGGAAGACTTGTCCATCAAGCCTTATATTCGAGCCAGAGCTAGCGAGTTGAAAAAGACGACGACGACGACGAACCTGCAGAACAACGTCTTCATATGGATGCAGTGGTATGTAAGTTAAGTATGTTGTTTTATTAGTGAAAGTCGACTATTTCTCTTGTTAAAACAAGATAAATGACTGTGGTCTGATCTTACCACTAAAAATCTGTATTGATAATAATATGATAACTTACGTTTAGAAAGCGTCAGAAAACACAGCAGCTAAATGATAGATTTACCCCTCATTCAGACGAAGTCGATCGGCAAACCCTTATACTGGGAGGTTGTTGAAGTGGGGATCCTTGAAGTGCTTCAGGTCACTACATCCAAAAACCGAACATTTTGACTAGCCCTCTCGTAACTTCTGCATCATTTAGCTTGGACTACAAAATCGGAGCGAGAAATAATAATGGCGGATTGCTCAAGTGTTGGAGTCAGTTCCGCTGCAAATACTGTGACGTAATTGTTCAAAAAACTTAATAGAGAACAGAAAAATCTGAACAGGTTGAAAAATATGACCAAAACAGAATATAAAGATATAAACGAAGCACCTGAAGAGAATAATTTCATATTTTCTGTACTTATAAACACTCCTCCAAATATACAACAAAATGCATTTAAGGGCTAAAAAATTGGATTTTGCATGATATGTGCCCTTTAAAAGTATTAGAAAGGTCTTAAGTTATAAAATATAAAGTTTTTCCAGGTCAGAGTAAAGTAATGCAAGTGAATGTCTACCACAACGCAAATGTATTGACGCTTAGCTTAATACGGTCAACTACTTTAAAGGAGTAGTTCACTTTTAAAAAAAACTTTTGCTGATAATTTACTCACCCCCATGTCATCCAAGATGTCCATGTCTTTGTTTCTTCAGTCAAAAAGAATTGAAGGTTTTTGATGAAAACATTCCAGGATTTTCTCCATATAATGGACTTCATTGGGAACCAAAGGGTTCAAGTTCCAAATGAGAGTTTCAGTGCAGCTTCAAAGGGCTTTAAACGACACCAGACGATGAGTAAGGGTCTTATCTAGCGAAATGATCGGTCATTTAAAAAATAAATAAAAAAGTTTAAGTTTTATAAGCACAAATGCTCGCCTTGCTCTGTTCTGTGATGAGCGTTCGTGACTCTCCGGGTCAAACTCATTCATCAAAATGAAGAAATCTTTTTTCGAGTCATGACTCGAAGGGTCCTGATAAGACCATTTATCGTCTGATGTCGTTTAAAGCCCTTTGAAGCTGCACTGAAACTGGGACCTTGAACCGTTTGGTTCCCAATGAAGTCCATTATATGGAGAAAATCCTTGAATGTTTTCACCAAATTTCTTTTCAACTGAAGAAAGAAAGACATGGACATCTTGGATGACATGGGGGTGAGTAAATTATCAGCAAAAGTTTTTTTTTTTTTTTAAAGTGAACTACTCCTTATATAGCCCACTATATAGCCCACTTTGAGTGCATTCTGGCTGACATATATTATTTTGCTTTTGAGGTTACAGACACATTATAAAATGTTTCTCGGAAGACTCGAGTATTTCTTCATGGTAAACAAAACATTTGACAGATGTAGGCTTTAGGAGCTCAAGAGTGCCCAGTGAAAGCAAAAAAAAAAAAAGCACAGGTTGAAAGAACGAACTGTCAAGATACACAAATAGAATATATAACAGATTCAAAATAAAGGAAGACAAGTAAACTTGTCTTGCAGAACATTTTCATTTGTTAATGACCCGCTGATTGTATTGGAAATGCCACATTTGCACTTGGGCGTAACATTGAAATCATTATTCTTATACAAACTCTATGTAATTTAATTGGCCAGTCTCCGCGAAAACATTAGAATGTAATCCAACAGCTATCCTCATCATCTATCAAATTCCAGCCTTTCATCCCCTCACACAGCGCTGAATATTTATGAGTTTGCCGACGTCACCAGAGCGCTGAGCAGCGCGTGAAAAGCGGGATGTGAGGGAGGGAGCATGCGGGGAGCGCGAGAGAAGAACGCTGCCATGCAAACCATCGCTTGACAGCGTCTTTTTTTTTCTTTTCTTTTTTTTACTTCCACCTGCGTTCGTTGCATAAGGATTGTGCATTTCATCTGCCAGGTCATTGAAATCGCCCATCTTATTTCGATGCCCGAGTGCGATGCATCTTTCTTTAACAGACGGAGTCGCGTGAAGGATGCTGCACACGGAGAATCTCGTTGTTTGACATGCACTGACATTTAAAATGAGCCATCTGAACCGTGCACGTCTCGTGCATTTCGACTCATGAGTGCACACGCATGCTTTTAATCTGAGCATAATCTCCGTAGGCTGCTCTGACACATTTCTAAACGTTTGTAATGGGGGTCAGCACAAGACCCCGAGGCGGTGGGATTTGATTGCAAGCTCTATTACGTGTTTTACTTATATATCATATATACTTGCATCATCAGATAGGCGCGTTGATCAGCAGCAGTTAAGCTTGGTGAAACTGCGGCGCGCGCGGGTTGTGTGTGGTGCTGAACGGACAGCTCCCTCCACAGCGGATCATATGGATCAATACTAGGGGTCTGACAGTGTCGCTCTCGGGCTTTAATGGCTGTGGCACGCAAGATCAAAACTCTGCTGACGGTCAACATTCTGGTGTTCGTCGGGATCATCTTGTTCTCGGTCTACTGCAGGATCCAGGACCGATCCGAAGAGCTCGTGCAGATCGGGAGGCTGTCGGATCAGAGACTGCGAGGCAGGAATGCCAAAGTTACGAACTCCTTGGACAGACAGTCCATTCTCAAACGGCTCGAGCGACTGGAAGATGTGGTGTATAATCAGTTAAATGGTATGTTAGATTTAATCATCTTTGACTTTCATTAATAAGTCATTCACATGAATTATATAATACATAATAAATCAGTGTTTTATGGAGATCTATTCATAAGATCCAACTTATCTAGATTTAAGATTTTGAATTTTATTGTGAAATTTACTGTAATTGAATACTTTCAATGAGACTTTTTTATCGCATGACAATTCATAGACATGTTTATGATGCAATAAACATGTCGGGAAGATCAAGACAGGCTAAAGCGGACCTAACATCATTAGCACACTCATAATAACTGATTAAACATAATGATCTATTAAGCATTTTATGATTTCAAAACGTTTTTTAATGTTATTGCCTTAAGATAAAGTGCTATGGGAAATTAGAGAAAGGACAGTGTACTGGTAAGGGCTCATTGCCTGATTGTATACGTTTTGTTTTGTGTCTCTAACTCCATGCTGAGGGGTTTCAGAGATGTTGTTCTGAAAGTTTTCTTGCTTCTCTGTTACATTATGTCTGCAGAGACAACAATTTACGCATTTCTCAGAGTATGCTGTCTTTCAAAAGGCCAATTTAATTTATAATTCAAATGCAATTCTACATCTCTATATCTGGAATACAAAACTGACCTCTCTTGGACTTGAAGTTGTACACATTATTTGAGACTGTTTATTTATGTACATATTTTGACAGAAAAAAACAACAATTCAATAAATCGAAGCAATGAATCAGAATTGAAATAAATATTACAATTATTCTAAATTCCCAATCATGGATGAGGAAAAATTGCAGTATATGTCCATATATAATCTGCAGATTTCCACTGAATTAGACGCTGCGTCATTCATAACATTAAAAACAAATTCTTCATGTATATTTGGTTGCATGACTAAAATGAAGAACTCAGATTTCTATAGAATTTTTGACCAGTTTTAAATCCACAGATTTTACCCCAAAAACAGTGCAGAAAAAAGTCTCTCTTACCTGCAAAAAGAAATTGTACTTCTACAATCTTGCTTCCCATGCACTGGCATCTGTTGTTGCCATAACCACACTTATCCTCTCTCTTCTGAGTTCTTTTCTTAGATTAAAAGAGCCCATTTCCTCAATCATTATGTTCTTAGACCATAGAACATTTTCCTCCAGAACACATCTGAAGGTCATAGTTCACGTGATGTGCTATATACTTCATTCAAATGTCTGTTAAAAGACCTATCGCTCTCTTTTTGCTTTTCTTTAGTGCATCTATTTGATCTGATTGTTATTCCGTAAGACCGCCACCATTTGTGCATAAAGGGGGTCACTCTGTCAGTTAGAATTATCCATCTTGCATTTGGAGGAAAGCCAAGAGGGAATGCTTTACAAAAAAAGGCCCTCTAATGTACCCTACTGATTGAAAGGGCTTTCATTCTGCACAAGTGCCACCACATATTTCTCCCGGAGGCTTTTCCACTCTGTAGATTTCACCAGTCTGTCACAAATGTTCTTGATGTTGGGGCCGATATACATTTTATTTTGACACGTATTTATCTGATGCCCATAAAACGTGCGAGATTGCATCCGCCGACTGAATGTGATTTTGAGACTGGAATAGGGTTTCCCTTGATGTTTTTAAATTTCTGTTGCCGTATTTAAATCGTAAGTAATTGTCCATTTTTATGTTGCTTTATTGTCTTGACAACGAGACCCAGAGGATTACGCTAAGGTCCGATTGGATTTCTAGGACTCAGCGAGTTTTACAAGAAAGCAGTAATTGTCTGGCTGTTGATGGCGCCCTCATCCCTTGAAACATCTTCGCAAATATGCAGTAAATGTTTGTATGAGCATTACTTTAATGAATAATTTCCCAGAGAACATATAACACATTATCATAGACAGTGCTTCTGGTTTGAGATGGACAGCTGAATCATCATTTACAACCCCCAAGAGTCATTAAATGAGAATCATAGTGCACAGCATGATCATGCACCTGTTTTTATTTGAAAGGGCATCAGTGGTGGCAAAATTGCAACCTGACTGAACCTGACTGGACCACATTTTGACATAAATGGATTTTTGTCACAGTACCTTCGTTTGAAAGTATACTGTACATGTTTGTGGTATACAAGCAGTTAATTTTGTTTTGGTAAGATGACTAGAAGACTACAAGAGCATAGATTAAGTTAATCAGTGCAGGAAGTGTGATGACGTTTACTATTTGGACAGAGTTTTCTAGAAACGCTGTGTTATTGTGACCCTTTATGTGACTGCTATAAAAATGCAGAGCTATGAGAATGTGCAATTAGCCCCTTGATTAGGCAGCAGATCTACCGTGAGCATTACCGCTAAAGTGTGCTTAATTTCTACAGCTGTAGTTCGGTTTACCTTCACAAACACAGATGTGTTAGGCTGAACCGATTTCTAACTCGGAAGTGATATAAACAGAGAAGGCTATGCTATCATACAAAAGTTTAGGTCTGTGCGAATTATTATTATTTTTATTTTTTATGCTTTTAAAAGAAGTTTGCTCACCAAGGCTCATCAATTTGATCAAAAATGCAGTAAAAATTTCAGTTTCAATGCTCTGCACGATCCCAGCCGAGGAATAAGTTTATTATCTGGTGAAATGATCTGTTATTTTCTAAAAGAAATCATACTTTTTAACCACAAAATGCTTGTCTTGCAGTAGCTTTGCTTTGCCACTCATTACGTAATCACGTTGAAAGGTCACTTTAGGATGTAGGCGGTAGTACCGACCTTGTGTTTACAGTCAAACACCCTTTACAAAAAATAAAAAAAAAGCGTGTTTTTCGCCTTCTATCCTACATTTTCCGCCTGACATTTCCAACATGATTACTCACTGTAATGCGTGAAGTTGTGGACGTGCAAGACGAGCATTTGTGGTTAAAAAGTATATATATATATATATATTTGTATTTTGTTTTTAGAATATGACTAATTTTTTCACCAGTTTAGACCCTTATTCCTCGGTTGGGATCGCGTAGAGCCTTTGAAACTGCATTTGGTTCCCATTGAAGACCACTTTATGGAGAAAGAGCCTCGAATGTTTTTCTCAAAAACCTTTTATTTTCAACTGAAGAAAGAAAGACATGAATATCTTGGATGACATGGGGGGGTGCGGGGGGGGGTGCGTAAATAATCAGGAAATGTATTATTCTTCAAAAATGGCATGTAGCTATTATTCCAGTCTTCAGAGTCACATGATCCTTCAGAAATTTTTTCGGTGCTCAAGAAACAATTTTCAACGTTGAATCCAGTTACTCAATATTCAATGACTCTGACTGGATCGGGGGCACTAAAACTTAATCGGTCATCACGTTTCACAGTAAAACTCACTTGGCACTTAGATGCAGCTTCTGTGTGTGTTAAATGGCAAGCTTTACCATTATATACTGTATATGGTTTATCACACCGTGTAGGAGCCCCCTATAGGGTTGAGGCTGTGTAGGTGTTCCGTATGCCATGCATCTATAAAAAGTACGACCGCCTTCGAATTTCACCACCATCGATGCTTTATGACCCAGCACATTTTTCTGTCTGATGCATTCACTGTGGACTCTAAGGGGACTGTCCAATCCTGCCTTTCATGTCCCCGTAACCATATTTTCTTCATGAATATTTATGCTGCACTAGCATCAGTTTTGACATGAATTCATATATACATTCAGCTCCCAAATCACCTCAAAAGGAGTGTCTGTTATCCTGGAATCCATAAAGGGGTCAGTAAGCCTTTTTTTCAAATCATGTTACATAATTTAAAGCAATTTGACGTAAAAGTGCATCAGGCCTGAAAGCTGCCAGAGCACTTTACAAGAAAGCAGGACTGCAGGAGATAAACTTGACTGGTAGTATCACAGATGAATGACTGAAGCCCACCACAAACACAGTGGATTATGGTGATTTACAGACAATGGGCATTGGGATACGACCACCTACGCCGCATCGTTGATGTTTTTCAACTTCCCGACAGAAAGACTAGCTGGTTGAATATTTTTCCCGTTCTTCACAATGCGTTCTATCACATCTGTGATGTTGACCAACGGGAGTTAGCTCCTCAAACATGGCAAACCAAAAGACTGCTGATAGGTGAAATAATGCAAGGTTCAGTCCTCCTGCCTTTATGATGTTTCCTAGCACAACAGAGTGAAAAATGTGAAATACTGGCAAACGATAGCGGAGGTGCTTCAGTAACACAGTTACTGAAATACCATTTCGGAAGTCATTGAAGCGATTGAATTCAGTCGCCATCCGCCTTCTCAATGACATCACGCAAGCCTTTAAAAGATGGCAAGCAATGATTGGTTGGAAAGCAAAATGTAGTCCATAACACAACAATAATTTAGGACTCAAAATTGCATCATCCTATCTGACACTGTGACTGTGGACAAAAAATAGTGTAGTCTGAAACCTACACTAGACAACAATACGATTGAATGGAAAGAAAACTTTTCTGAAGTCTCCCAAATATCAGATTTTTTCTTCTGAGATAAAGACTTCATGACTCCTTTCAGCAGAGATCTCAACATTGTCTCGGATTGTGATCACACGTGCCAAGAGAACAAAGTCTGCATTAAGAAGTCAGAGATTTCAGTATGAGTGTCAACATTTCTCATGCAATTCTTCTAAGATCTCTGCTATGCTATCCACATTCTACTTTTTTTTTTGTTTCTGTACTGTTGTTATGCATCTACGGAAGAGGATTAGGGCCAAGCAATAATAAAAAAATAAAAGCATCTCGAGATTAAAGTCATTAGTATGCGAAAATAAATCGTTAAATTTCAAGAAAGGAAGTCGAAATGCAATCAAAGTCATTGAATATCGAGAATAAAGTCGTTGTGTTTCGAGAAAAAACTCGTTAAATTTCGAGAAAAAGTTGAAATACAATCGTGAGAATAAACTCATTAAATATCAAGAATAAAGTCGTTGTGTTTCGAGAAAAAAAACTTGTTAAATTTCGAGAAAATAGTCAAAATACAATCTTGAGAATAAACTCATTTAATAGTGAGAATAAAGTC